ATCCATCCATCCATCCATCCATCCATCCATCCATCCATCCATCCATCGTCTTCCACTTGTTCTGAAGTCGGGTCTCGGGGGCAGCAGCTCGAGCAGCGAGGCCAAGACTTCTCTTTCCACAGCCACCTCTTCCAGCTCTTCAGGGAGGATTCCAAGGTGTTTCCAGGCCAATCAAGAGACAAAGTCTCTCCAACGTGTCCTGGGTCTTCCCCAGGGTCTCCTCCCAGTCGAACATGCCCAAAGCACCTCCCTGAGGCGCCCAGGGAGCATCCTTCCCAGAGGCCCAACCACCTCAACTGACTCCTCTCGATGTGGAGGAGCAGCTGTTCTACTCCTAGTCCCTCCCAAATAACTGAACTTCTCACCCTATCTCTAAGGGAAAGTCCAGCTATCCTGCGATGGAAACTCATTGCAACTGCCTGTATCCGTGATCTTGTTCTTTCGGTCACTATGCAGAGTTCGTGACCATAGGTAAGGGTAGGAACATAGACAGACCGGTAAACAGAGTGTACCCTGTTTCTCGCACAGTGACTGCTGGACATGGGCACTAGGGCACTAGCGACCACTGTGAACTAGAAAGGAAGATGCAGATAAAGATAATGGATGGATGGATGGATGAATGTACGTATGTTAAAGTGTTCACTGACTGTGTTTAGAAAATATCCAGTGAACCACTGGATGGAGTTAATAAAACTGTTTGAAAGTAATCAGTGGATGTGCATCTTTAACTCATTAACTTTTGGAGTCAACCCTATTCAAGATGGCTAAGCTCCATTGCAAACACATAAATGGCTGTAACACAATCACATTTAAAGACTTCAAGCTTTAATTTGGCATGGTGGTACTAACTGAGACTCATCCTCAACACATACTTTGAGTGTTGACAGATTGGGTAAGAACTTACAATACTGTGTGTGATCGAGCAAATGTTATTTTTAAGACTTGACCAAAATGGTTAAAACTTTTCATTTTTTAATTTAGATCTTAGTTTAAAAGTCTCGCATGGAAGGGGAGAAGCAATATGCATTTATTTAAGAAATGTTAGGACTTTCATTACACAAAATGTTATTTTCACATAAATAGTAAGAAGAATGCACAGAATGTGGCCGTGGGCCTGTGTACCTCTCCTGAAGTCGCAGACTTTGCCATGTTGTTAATGACTGTGCAGAGTACTCTAGCATCCACAGCTTATAGAAGAGCATCATGTTGAGGAACACAAGCAGGATCAAGCTGGAGGAAGGACACCAGACAAACAAAATTACAAAAACCAAGCCTTTGATTTTCATTTTAGCAGCTTTGACTGCTAAAATGTATACCAAAGCATGTATACCTGAGACAGATCCTAGGGATGGCAATGGAAAAAAAAAAGGAGAGAAGTTACACTCGGAAAAACAAAAAATAATATCTGAAACCTATTTTATTCTTTTAAATGCAAGTCAAGAACACCACAGGTGTTGGTGGAAAAGACGGTGAAATGCAACAAGAGACTCAGAGACATGTATGGTATGCCTGCATGTGTGTGTTATGTGTGTGTTGCGTACACAAAGCTGATAATGAGCAGCAGTTTAGAGACGCTGTACAGAGCCAGGCCTCCTGGCAAATGATGATGTTCTGGTCTCTGGTGTCTGGTCTGCGTGGAGCCCACCACTTGTTTGATCCTCTGAATCACTTCCTCATCTGTTGGTGTAGTAACAGGGCTGAGAGCCTCATCCAGATGCTGGCTGCGCATATGAGGGAGTGGTTTTTTTTTCCGCCTCAGTGTGGAGTTCTTCACCACCTTAGCCTTCGGAGAGAGTTGGTGAGCCTCTGTGATGATTTCTTCTAGCTTTGCCAACTCTAACTCTGAGGGGGAAGAAAACTTCATGTCACAAAGATGAGACCAGACACAAAACATACTGTGCTTTTTTAAACTATGAAATTAGTCTGTTTTTGTTGTTACATTCTTGTTTAACTCTATGATAAAATAAATGTTTCTTTAATTTATCATAAAGAAACCATAGGCACTTTACATAAAATGTAAATCTAGCAGAAAAGAGACAAACAGCTCATGATGTCAGTTTATGATCCCCTTCTCCTAACTAGACTGGTCATGTAGGGTTCTTCAATAACCAACACTTAAGTAATCAGGTCAACCATTCGGTTGTCAGCCGTGTGATTTAATGACAGCAGCTGGACTTTGAGCCTCACATTAGACAGTTGTCTTCATGCTTTTCTATAGTGTTGACTTTTTGCCTTAATTAATCACATGAAAGCACTAGAGATGGTTTAAAAACTAAAACCAAACTTCAGCTGTTTCCACATTGAGTTATTTTTAGTTACATAAACAAGGGTTTGATGTTCATCCACTTGCACATGTCACTGTTGCTTCCCATTTTCTGTTTTTATGATGCCTTTGCTTATTTTAGCTAAGCTGGATTGTACGGTACCCCTTGTTTAGTGCAGCTGCTAAAGCCACTCAAGACTGACATGTTTGTCAATGTGACATAGCATCAAGTGGGGCTACTGCTAAAAACTGAATCCACCCAGACACACACTAACCAGAACACATTTTACCTAGCTGGCGGAAGTTCTCATCAAGCCCACTCCAGAAGTTTTTCTCAATGAAGCCTTTCACCAGCCCCCACGGCTGTTTCCTGTAACGTAGCTCTGTTGAAACCCTGGGAGACAGAAAAGTATTGATACATCTGTGTGGCCTTTTCAAATCTAAATAGTGTGTTTAAAGAGAGAAAAAAGTTTAATAAAAAGCCAATTTATAATAAGGATAATAATGGCTAAAATAAAACTGGACCATGTTCTGTTCACCTTAATCGACACTTGTTCTTGGCCACCCGTGTGAGCATGTAGCGGTTGAGAGTGTAGAAGTAATCGTGGTAGGGCACGTCGTGCGTGATGACCTCAGCATCGATGATGTAACACTCACTCTCCTGACTGGATTTGTACAGAGTCTAGAAAAATATGCCAGCTGAAGTTTAATTTAAAGTAATTTGTAACAGTAAAAGTAGAATAGTTTCTTCCTATTCTGGCCACTCCTTTTGGCACTCATCTTTAAAACTTCTGTCTCTGCCATCTTCAGCTCAGCTTTGTGTCTTTTTGTTAGTGCTATCATCTCCATACATCACATTAGGTCTTCCTATCATTGTGTAAACCCCTTTCAACCTTGCAGCAATCCTGTCACAAACTATGCTTGATATTTGTGTTCATCCACTCCACTCATGCCTGCACTCTTATCTACACTACTTCTTGTTTTGAACTGATGACAACAGATTCTTAAACTAATCTACCTCTCTCATCTCTACTCCTTGCATCTTCACAGTTTTACCTGACCCCATCAAACACACTGATTCTGTCTTTCTTTTCCTGGCTTTGATTCCTTTTCTCTTCAGAGTATACCTCACCTCTCCAGACTCTCTATCACTTGTTCCTTGATGTCACTGCAGACCATAATATTGTCTACAAACATTACAGTCAGTAATGCCGATGAACGGAACAATAAGATATGCCTCGGTTTTAACAGAACTCAGTTCACCTGCGTCTCAGTGGCAGTGGCTGTTTTAGGTGCCAGCGGGTTGGACAAGGAGATGGTATACATGATCACTCTTGTCTGGTTTCCTGCCTCCTCCTTTTTCCATGGATGGTACACAACATCTGCACAAAATATATAAAAAAATGGGGAGATAATTTCCCTAGAGATCAGATATAAATTAACTGGATCACTGATGCAAACATTGGGATGACTTGCCTGAGAATCGCCTCTGCTCCATGAAATCATTCATGAACTGAGACTCTGTGAAAAGGATGTCGTAGAGTTTGTCCACGCTAAACTTGTACACCTCATTGATATGCTGCCTTCCGTTCAGATCCTCATGGAAAGCCTGGACCTCACCTACATAACAGATAAACACAAATATGCCATTCGTAACATTATCCTGTTATTACTAGGGGAATAGGCGTCATCTCATCTGGATGGTGTAGGTACCCTCGTCATGGGTTTCTGAGGAGTCACTGAGCTCAGTTGGAATGTCTTCATTGTCATTAAAGTCCAGTGAGGGTGAGGGAACAGGACCGCCAAGCCCACTGGTCTCAGTCTTCTCCTCTACCATCAGAGGCACAGTCAGTAGCTCACCATCCGGTAAACAGTCTGCAAATTCCTCTGCTGGGAGTTCAAACTGGGGAGAAATTATACAGGAAGTGAGGAGCCACAATACTCTACTGTATATTATGAACCTTTCTAGATGTTATTTTGAGCTAAGGAGGTATTTGAGTAGATTTGCTTTTTGGTTCAACCAACATATATGTGGCTTACTGTGATGCCTGTGTCATCATGATTGCCGGGGTTTGGAATAGTGCTGTTTGGGACAACCTTCTTATGAAGTGGAGGTGGACTTCCCCCCTCAGGCTTGGTTTGCTCTGTGTTGTTCTTTGTCATGTTTTCATTGTTTATCTCATTCTCTTCATTGGGAATCTCTTCACTGAACCTGAGTACATAAAAAAAGTGATTCAGTTTCCACACATCCAGATCTTACATTCAATGTGAGTTCCTTCTAATACCCACAGCAAGTCAAGTCAATTACAGACATTTAACAGATTCAGAGTTAACCAAAATCCTTTTGAAATGTGTGGTAAGATACAGGCAAGAGAACCTATAACAAAAGCACTATAACAGACAGCTCATATTTCATTTGCTCCAGCAGAACATATTCATTCAACCTTTATTTAAATAGGTTAATCCCAATGAGCCTAATTTGACCTTGTTTCAGTTTTTCCCTTGGGTTTTTACCATCCAGGCTGATTACAAAGGTTATTTTAAATGGATCAGCTTTAATATGCTAAAACTATAATAAAACCAGGGCAGCACGGTGGCACAACTGGTAGAGCTGCTGCCTCTCAGCACGCAGGTCCCTGGTTCAAATCCCGGTCTGGGGTCCTTTCTGGGTGGAGTTTGCATGTTCTCTCCGTGCATGCGTGGGTTTTCTCGGGGTACTCCGGTTTCCTCCGTCAGACCAAAAAACATGCATGTTAGGCTGATTGGTAACTCAAAATTGTCTCTAGGTGTGAAGGAGAGAGTGAATGGTTGTTTGTCTCGTTTGTCTCTGTGTGTCCCTGTAATGGAGTTGCGACCTGTCCAGGGTGTCCCCCGCCCCTCGTACAATGATTGCCGGACATGGGCACCAGCGACACCCGTGACCCAAAATGGAAGAAGCGGGTAAAAGATAATGGATGGATGGATGGATGTCCGAAAAAAACAAACAAATTGCAAATGTGCTTGCTCAGGATGGGAGACAGCGACGAAGTGAAGCTTCAACGCAATCTGTTGGCTTCCTGAGTTATATAATTTTTACTAATTGTCTTTTTTATGTACTGTATGTGAATGCTTCTGCAGTGCTCTGAGACAACTTCTGTTGTGGCTTGGCACTATATAAATAAATTGAATTGAATTAGTTGGAACTTGGGCAGCACGGTGGCGCAACTGGTAGAGCTGCTGCCTCTCAGCGAGCAGGTCCTTGGTTCAAACCCCGGTCCAGGGACCTTTCTGGGTGGAGTTTGCATGTTCTCTCCGTGCATGCGTGGGTTTTCTCCGAGTACTCCGGTTTCCTCCCACAGTCCAAAAACATGCATGTTAGGCTGATTGGTAACTCTAAATTGTCCCTAGGTGTGAGTGAGAGAGTGAATGGTTGTTTGTCTCGTTTGTCTCTATGTGGCCCTGTGATGGACTTGCGACCCGTCCAGGGTGTACCCCGCCCCTCGCACAGTGATTGCTGGACATGGGCACCAGCGACCCCCGTGACCCAAAATGGAATAAGCGGGTAAAGAAAATGGATGGATGGATGGATAGTTGGAACTTTTTTTCCAGTATATATATATATCTAGAATAATTTTGATAAAAAAACCATTAAAAACTCTTGACTGGAAATCATAAAACAAAGTTCTTGGCTTATTCTCCTGAACTGCTTTCTAAGGGCAAAACAAGAAAAGTGACAGCATTTACCGATAAATTTACGAATGCGTACAGAATGGAAACATCTACCGATACTTTGTTTTAAAACCACAGATTCAGAACCTTTCAGACTGTCCATTTGTTCTAAGATAACACGCAGGATGTATCCCAAATTCCAGCATAGACTAAACGCACTGCAGACCCAATCAATATAAAATGAAACTACAGTATATATTTTTGACGTAATACGTCTCGCCTGCTGCCATGCATGTCAAAGTTTTAAACAAAGATCTTTTACAATCTTTTAGCATTCAGAATATGAGATGACGAGTGGATCTCAGCTACTACCACAACAAATTTGAGCTCATTAGTCATAAAGTTAATTGGATTATACTTGTTTTGTGTTTGCAAAAACTGACTAGCAGTGGCGCCATCTGAAATCAAATTGACTATAAAGATTTATATCAGTTGTAGATGCACATTTGAAGACCATTTTCTGAAACTTTTATTAAAATCTGGCCAGTGGTTATATACCGTAGGTTTTATTAACAGACATACAAGGTTAACTCTAACAGTTAATAGTAAAGTTTTAAGCATATAACTTGTTTTAGTGCTTGTGTTGAAAATTAAAATGGATTGAACAGACACAGAGCCAGCATATATTCTATTGTATCTTAGTTGTCCTGCAAAATTACTGTAAATCTTCTGGTAAAAGAAAATGCTTCAAGGAAATTCTTCAAATTCTTCAAAACTGTTGAAACTGTGGCTCTAAATGCACCTAATGTAGTTAAGATGAGTTCTTAAGTTTGTGACTGAACATGTTACAGTATAGACTATAGCAGAAACAAATTATTTTCTACTTCAAGTGATTAAAAAATAGTTTAAAATGTTAAAGTTTTGGTAAGAATAGTGACTTCTGCTTTAAGACAGGCAGACTTACCCCATGGTGTTGAAGTCATCATCAGGGGGAACATAGTCCTCGTCGTCACTGGTTAGGCCGAGCTCGTTGCCGTAGCACTGATGGACAAAGTGCCACAGTTCTTTAGGACATAAGGGCTGCAAGGAAAACAAATATAAACAAGAAGACAGCCTGAGATCTAGCTCCCTGTAAAATGTGCAAGAAGGAAACTATCTGGGCAATTCTGTAATGAGAGAGTTGACGGTTTGATTCCACCTTTATGCAGTCACATGTCCAAGTGTCCCTGAGTAAAACATCAAATGCCTCATTCCCATGGATGTGTGTCCCATCGGTAAATAAATGTACAGTAGTCCCTCGTTTATCGCAGGGGATCCGTACCCTGAAGACCCATGATAAGTGAAAAACTGCAAAGTTGGAATAGTAGTACAAGTAGTAAGTAGCAGTTTATTTTATTATTTCTGTCTGTCTGTCTGTCTGTCTGTCTGTCTGTCTGTCTGTCTGTCTGTCTGTCTGTCTGTCTGTCTGTCTGTCTGTCTGTCTGTCTGTCTGTCTGTCTGTCTGTCTGTCTGTCTATCTATCTATCTATCTATCTATCTATCTATCTATCTATCTATCTATCTATCTATCTATCTATCTATCTATCTACATATACATATACATATACATATACATATACATATACATATACATATATATACTGTATATATATTCATATATATATATATATATAAAGGCATTTTAAACCCTTCCCACACTCTTACGATATTCTAAACAATGTTTCGAAACTGTAAACGCTCTAAAAGAGCACAGAATGTTATGATTTCCCTCTCTGTATCTCCGCTGCTTTTTGCCACCTGCAAGTACTCTTGGCCACGCCCACTTCTCCTCTCTGCACGGTGAACAGCTGATCAGTTGCAGGAGGAAGTTTATCCTGCAGTATGGGCTGCACAAATGTGCAGCAGGTGCTAAATAATTTAAAATAATTTATTTAAAATAAAAATTACATGCCAATCGTGCGGCTCATCCATCAGTCAACCAATTCTGTGTCATGTCCAATCTTATTATGAAAAACCGCAATAAACGAACCGCAAAGTAGCGAGGGACTACTGTATTCTAAAGCGCTGATTAGCCTCTATAGATTAATTTACTCAGATCATCTATGCAGATATGAACGCTGTATGTGTGTGGAAGGATAAATGAGGACAGCTTGTGTTGTAACATGCTTTGGATAAAACTGTACTTGTAAGAACAGACCATTTACATTTTTGGTATAGATCTTTATCAAGAAGACCAATGCAGTCTCAGGTGAGATGTGTTTACCTTTTCAAGCAGGGCATTCTGCCACAGTCTGAACATCATCATGTATGTCCTGTCCCTGGCTCCGAATGAGGTAAAGAAGTGCTGTAAGAAAAATAAGAACATCAACCTGATCTATCTGAGGTGGGATTATAAATTCTAGTTTTATACTTTAGCTGCAATAATAGTTAATTGCTTGCTAACCATCTGTCAAACATCTATTTGTGACACAAAATAAATCCCTCATACTTGTTAAAAAAGCTTTTAATCTTATTGCCAACAGTCAGCCTTCATTATTCAGGTCTTTCTGGGGCCTCTTTTTTAAGATGTTAGATTTTTAAAGTTTCTTACATCCCTGGAAGTCATTTTTTATTTACCTTTTCTGTGTCTGTGCAGACCTGGATGGCATTAGGAATGAGGCGTGCAGTCTTCTCTTTAGTCATTGAGCAGATGTCCTTTAATCGGACTGTCAGCTGAAAGCAAACAAAAAAAGCACACGTGCACTCACTAACATGTCCAGTACTGCTAATGACGGTCTACAGGAGTGTAGAAAACTATAGGATTACCAGGGTTTCCCAGCGGAAGATGTTGCTATAAAAACAGATCCAGTTCTCTGAGAGGTAGAGTCGTCCCTGCAGGAGGATGTCCCGCTGAAGAGCACATGAGTAGTCTGCAACAGAAACAAAGCACAGTCAGACAAAATGCTCACAGTCAAATATAATGAACTATTACAAGTTACATAACAAATAAACATTATAATAAAAGTGGCATTAGGAATGCTCATTGCACTCTGATTTGCATGGCAAAGATTTTAACAAAGATCTCACGTGATCTGTTCGTACTCGGCGTGTGTTGAAGGTCAGTCTACTAGACTACTGCATTTTAGATCAATATCTGTAAACTTGACCGAGTTAAAGCCATTTATGTCAGTTGGTTGTGGCAGACATTTTGAATTAGGTTAATTTCAAACAATAATCCGCATTTTAAACAATGATCCCTTTATGAGAGTCTCAATGATGCATGTCCACTGATTCATAAAATATTTTGCCAACAGGCCGATAGGGTTGACTCCTGCAGTTAATGTCAAAGCTTTAAACAAACAGCTCACTTGACTTATTAAGACTTAAAGTATATGTTGGAAATGATTCTCAGCTACTACCACAACAAATGTTATCTCGATGTCTGTAAAATTGCTTGAGTTAAAGCCAATAGGTTGATAAGGTCATTATCTGTGGTGGCCATCTTAAACTGGATTGACACCAAAAGTTTACCAATAGTAAATACAAATTCAACAATTACCTGCTGAGAGTTTCATTAAAATCCACCCAGTAGTTTATGAGCTATTTTGCTAACAGACACACAGTCATACAAACCATGACACACACTGACTATTGCATGGTCACTTTTTATGGTGGTGGGTGACAACTAAACAAACTGGGTGCAACGAAACACGTCTAAACTTTGCTGTAAATCTTATGTGCAAATCAGTTTAACAAGGAAAGATAAACCAAACATCAGCATTACAAAACACCACAACAGATACAAGTTATGTGACTCATTAAAACTATCTTGGCTCTGGGCTTTCAAGTAAATGCCTAAATCTAATAGTGATAATGTTTTTAATCCATAAGTGACATAACAACTGTGCAAAGCTCAGGATCCACAGACAGTATTGTTCCCATGTTCCGTCAGGTTACAACATTTTTATTTATTTTATTGTATTCTATTAATCCCCAATGGGGAAATTAATTCCCTACATTTTTCCCATTGCACATGTGAGTACACACGTGAAGTAGTGGGCTGCCATCTAAGGCGCCTGGGGAGCAGCTGACATATTACATAAGAGTTTTAAAGACAGACAGAGCTCATTAAAAAACACACATTTAATGTCAGATGCTTAAACTCTGTGTTTTAGACAAAAGAAAAAAAGTGTTTGAAAAAACAACAAAAATATCAAAGTAATCAAGAAAAAAAACAATCATACAAAAAAAAGCAAAGTATAAGCATGTTTGTACTTATACGCACTCTTCATTAGTTAATCAAGTTTGATTCTGACATGCTCTGCAGTTTAGCTACTACTTTATAAGACATTCTCAGTCTGTGTCCAAACTGAACTTTTTTATCATTAGACAGTTTTTTAAAAATGTTCGTATTCAGCAGCCTTGTTAAAACGTTCAGCTCATTCAGGGCAACGCTGCTATGACGTTTGATATTGGAGCAACTTTAGCTTTTTGAGATATTTAGCCTTTTCCGCCGTTTTTCCTTCATTGAAAATAAACTGAGCTCCTTCACGACTTGATCTCTTTACATCCTTTTACTACATTTAGATTCAGTTAAACTTGTTTCAGCTTCCTTGTGCAAATTTCTGGAAAAAATCAGCTACTTCAGCTAATTTCAGCTGTTTTTTCCCAGCTGTTTTGTGCTCCTTTCAGCTTTATTCAGCCAAGTCCAACATTTTTGTGCTCCTTGTAACTGTTGCGTTTCTAAAGTAAAGTTATGTGGAGCTTTCATGCATGGTCAGTGTCTAACCTGCAGTAGAAAACAACCATTGATATCTGAGTTTAAACAAGCAGAGATAATTATTTTGGGAGTGTCAAACGAACAGCTACAGAGCAGAGAAATTCAAAGTAAAGACTTTCCTACCAGGTTTAGCAACTGCCTTATTAAGGATTTATTTATTTATTATTATTTATTTGTTAATTTAACCTGTAAGTCACTTTTGTAGGAGACTGTCATTTGATTAATATTTTCTAGAGTCTTGCTCCTGCTGCTACATGTAATTTGCACGCACAGATGCTGCTGAAAATTATTTATTTACAAAAAACAGGGTTCCTTTTTGTTGAGAGATAAGTGCATATCTGTGTAACACAGATTATACCGAGGAAGAACTGTGGCCAGTGGAAACAACTCGTGAGGACTCTGCTGATCAGCTGTAGCTTTATTTTATACCCAAAGTGCACAGCGTAAGAATTAGAACCCAAATGTTTGGTTAAAAATAGCCACATAGCACCTGTGCTGTTTAGTTGATAACTTGACTTGGAATTGACATTTGATTTTTGGACCTAAAAAATGACCAGTGGGCCTAATGTTAAGATGTTGTTGGCTCTTGGACTTGTTTTTGGAATGGACCATAAGAGAAAGGTCACATGCCTGGCAGCATAGAGCGTAAGCTCATTCCTTACTCTTCAGCCAGTGCATGAGTGATGAGAAGTGGCAAGGTAAGAGTTTTATCTACCTAATGGAAGAAAAGTTAGCTGTCTGGAGGAGGTGTCATGGACGAACTGTCAGACTGGTATCAGACTTATATTGATTAATGTGGAAATGTGTAATACTGATAAATCTGAGCAAGACATTCAGAATATGGGACACTGTGGCTTACACTTTAGTCACGTAAGCCACTTGAGCATTCATTTGTATAAGCAAATATCTTAGTGAAGCTGAAAAATAACGTTCAGAAACAGCAGCAGAGAAAAATAACACGTATGATGATAAAATGAAGTCAACCCTCACTAATAAATTACTCAGTATTTCTGCTGAAATACTTGCTCAAACTTGCCAAACTGTAGTGTTGGTGTTTTTAAATATATACAGAAGAAATAAACTTGTTGCAGCTTTTTAACACTGTGACAATATTGATTTTATCATATAATAATAGTTGTTAAAAACTTCGGCCCTCCAGATTGGGCAGAGAAGGGCACAAAAGTTTGAGAACCACTGCAGGAGCTTGTGCACAACCAGCTACATGCTCTGAGAACCATGGAGCAAGACCAAATGGTTGGAACGAGGCAACAACAATGTTTATTTTTGCTGCACTTGAGAAGCAGAATAAGACAAACTTACTGCTAAGAACAGCAATCAGAGCCAAAGATGGTAATTCTGAGGCATCCAAAGTCTGATGTTTGATCCTAATATTGACCAGCAACGTTTTTATTTATGTATCTGAAACTGATTCTACATTCCCTGACAGATTTGGACATTATGTGGGTTTTGAAAATTGACACTTTGCTGCAAAACTTTTGTATTCTGAGATATTTACTGTTAGAGGGTTCTGTTAGAACAGCACAACTCATTATTCTCAGCCTTTCCTAGTGTCAGTGGTAGATTGTCGTGTCAACAAACCACAAAAATCAGTTTATTGCTTGAGTTTTACTTGGAAAAAACCTTTATGTTGCAAAACCTAAAAAAACGAGCACAGGACATGGCTTCAGAATAAATAAAAAACATTACTGATGCTATTTTCAATTCAAATAAACATTTGATTTCTGCCCATTTTTCATCTGTTCAGTGAGGACTGATCGTTTCCTAATTTTTTTGACAAGCTATGTGTAGCCTGGCCGTCCTAAGATGGCCTCAGGGGGAGTCCACTCACCAACAATGAGTCTCTCTGTGTCAGGGAGCTGCTTGAAGAGTTTCCTGAAGTCCTCATTGCGCTGCTTGTATGTCGGACTCAGCACCTGCAGTGACAGACCGAGTCAGAAACATCTCCTCCTCACCCCCACCCTAAATGTTGCTCAAATCTCACACTCTTTCACCTCCATTCTCACTCACAAGCCTGCTCTCTGCCATATGGCTCGAGTTATTTGTGTCTGAGTTAACCTCATTAGCTGAGTTAGAAGGGATGGACTGAAACACAAGGAAAATGAATTCACTCAGAGTGCAGCCGACACAAAAGTTGCATATGGCGTCCTTAGAAACTGCAAGGAGCTGACAAACTGAAATTATATTTGTCAGCATTGTCTTCTGTTTTGAGGAATGTGAGGTTATGAATAAAAGCTGCTCAAACTGTATGTGACTTCAGCATAGTGCTTACAGCAGCATACAATAGAAACCAAGGCTGGTTGAATGAACCTTTACCCAAGTAACTCTTAATAAAATGCTGAACTTTATTTTTGCTCTTGCTCTGTTTGTTGCCACTAATAGAGTAAGTATTCCTACTTACAGCAGGAATATCCTCAGTGTCCCACTCTGGGTCTTGAAGGTTTGATGCAGCCCACCCCCACTCCCATTCCCCTCTATCTGGACCCTGCAGAAGCCACCCTGCCAGCTCCTCATCCAGCTCCAGCACAGCCTCCCACTCCGCCATCGTCCAGTCCTCATCCAGTCCCACGTTCATTGTGCCAGCTCCTTTTTGGGCTCTCTGAACAGAAACAAACTTTCCAAAGCGTGCCACAGTGGGCTCCCTCTGACATTAGCCCTGATGTAAACTACATTAGGTTTAAGCTAAATGATGAATCCAAGCTGCAGTGTCCACCCCCTTTGCTCTGAGCTTGACTCCTATTCAGCGTTGAGCAGTGGACTCACTGCACTCCAGCCACATGATCCTTGTGTTGCTCTGTCACTCCCTGGTGCTCTCCCGCTTCCTTTCACACACACTCGCACGCACACACACTCATACACGCACACACCTAACTACTAACTATGGCCATTGCCCTCTAGTAACCCCAGCCAACAAGTCCTTTATTATCATGCCACAAGCTTTTCCTTTTTTTCCTGTTTACTCTTCCTAGTAAGCGGTGTGTGAGAAGAGCGTGTGTGCTTGGGTTGCTGTCCAGATCTGAGTGCTTTGTAACAACTCTGTTTATGTGTAGCCAAAACTGAGGAAAGTTTACTTTGTGGAGAGGGATTTAACTGGACACAGAGGCGCTGCGAGAACAGAAACTGGACTGAAGAAAAATAAAAAAATCATGTTTTTGTCTTGTGTCCATTTGCTGTGCTGAAGCGATTGAATTACAGAAACCAGATGTTAGCATGACCTACAGTTACCTTAACCTGCAAAACAACACCATTAACTTCGGCAGGGTCTGGACTGGGTTGTGTGACCTACAGCTCACACAGCAGAGGGTAATGGATCCTTTTTATACATATCTACACAAAAACTATGTTTAAGCCAAACCAAATCCTAAAAATGTGCTGTTCACAGGGGATTTGAAGGTGTTGAATGTTTCAACAGTGGCGACTTTAGCCTCTTTTTGAGGGTGCTCAAGCACACTTAAATTTTAACTCAGCACTCCTGAAAAATTAAGAAACCACCATTAGGATTTTGAAAGGAAACTCAATTGTCAAACCTTAGATTCACCTAAATTTGTAATAAATTTGGAATAAATACAGAATAAATGATGACACAAACGGGAATCTATGATTTTTTATTTTTTTTTGCACGAGTTGGATCCTCGACACAATCAATCCAGTAGGCTCGTCAGCAAATGACCAATCAGCGATCTCAATTTGTCCCAAGGGTAAACGCCCCTTACCTGCAGGAGCTGGGGGGGAGGGTTAGGATGCATGAGAGAAGTGGAGCATGCTCTATTCACACAAGGAGAGCTGTTGGTCAGGTTACTTCTTGTTATGTTATGCTTGTTTATTTGTCATATGCAGGTTAACACAAGGTCAACAATGCAATAAAATGTTCATGATGAGAAGAACCGATTCGACTTGCTAAACACCCCCCCGCCCCCCCAAAAAAAATTCTAAAGCATGCAATAAAAGTGCAAAATTAAGTATCAAAAAGTGAAAAAAAGAAATAATATCTAGAAGATTCAAATAAATATAGCAAACAACAACATGGTAGAATATAACAGTGCAAGTAGGATAAATTTGTATAAATAAGTATCTCACATGAAGTATTATTAGCTTAATATTAGCTTAATATTAGTTTCTTGTTGTGCCGAGCTCTCTAAAATAGTTACTGAATCAAGTGTTTGCATATGTAGGTAAATGTAGATGTTTTAAAACTTGTTCAAATACACCAGAATGCAGGAAATGGCATCTAGTTTATTAAAAAATTTCTAGGGGAAGACCCCTTGAATCCCCCACCACTGTGCCCCCCCCCAACACACACACACAAATGCTTCTGATGCCAATGGAGGTTCATGTCCTCTTGATAGTTGATCACTCTCTGAGCAGAAAGATGCAGCACTCACAGATTTCATTTTAGAAACACTAAAAGAACGATTTGTGTTAAGGTAAGGTCCACCATCTATTCTTAACTAGAAGTCTTTTAGCAGTCAGAACTGTGGGAATAGTTCTGTAGCTGTAAGGGGTGATGGATTAAACAATGGCTGGATTTAATTTCTCACACTATAGATTTCAGCTTTATTCCAGTGTTTGCTATCTTGTCTCTGTGCCCCTTTTCAGTAAATAGGCAGAATCATCCATCCATTATCTTTACCCGCTTATTCCATTTTGGGTCAAGGGGGTCGCTGGTGCCCATGTCCAGCAATCACTGTGCGAGGGGCGGGGTACACCCTGGATGGATAGCAAGTCCATCACAGGGCCACATAGAGACAAACGAGACAAACAACCATTCACTCTCTCACTCACACCTAGGGACAATTTTAGAGTTACCAATCAGCCTAACATGCATGTTTTTGGTCTGTGGGAGGAAACCAGAGCACCCGGAGAAAACCCACGCATGCACGGAGAGAACATGCAAACTCCACCCAGAAAGGCCCCAGGACCGGGGTTTGAACCAAGGACCTGTTCGCTGAGAGGCAGCAGCTCTACCAGTTGCGCCACCGTGCTGCCTAGGCAGAATCAAAAGCAGCAAAATAAATGTGGAGGCTTGGACATATTCCTGGAAATCTAACTTCTTTCACAGCCTTCCCAAACTGTAAGGAAAAAAAAAATCCTTTATACATGCTTTAATAAAATGAAACTAATAGTATTAATTTCTCAAAACACATATGATGTTCATTCTGACAGCTAACTTTAACATCTGCTTATCCATTTCCTTCCAGTCTGATACATTGTTCAGAATTCAGGTGATTGTGTGTGTTGGATGAGGTTTGAGTAGAGAAACATGTTGCGTATTGATTTGGTTCATTATTAACTTGATGAACAAGCATTAGAGGAATGGTGTGTTACTGTGTGTACCGGTATGTCACTATCTGTATTTACTAGACTCTTCAGAAAGCAAAACTCTTAGGGTGTGTGTATCAATCGGACTGAAACATTAATTTGTTATCAGAACAAATATATATTAGCATCATTCTTTAACTGTTTACAGTAGCAATCTTGTATGTTGGTGTTTGACCAACAGGGGTGGAGTAGGGTGGGTGTTGGAATTGTTTGTTAGGTCAACTAGATAAGAAATATAGTTTTCTTTTAATAAATATTCTTCAAAGAATAATCAAATGACGGTTTTTGCATTGATTCTGTCAGTTCTGTCTAGTCTGCCTGTACCGTTACTAGTCATGAGGTTTTCATTGTTCAAGTACTTTTATTGACAAGAAAGTCCATAAATTAAAATTTTCAAACACAACATTAATGTGGTTCACGAGTCAAAATGACATTACGGTAATGACACTTATATAACTTTGTTATAGTCATAAGGGGGTTATTTAAAAAATTATAGCACAGGTAGTCCTTTACCCAGAACAAAATAACTTTAAAATTGCTGTTTATATTTGCCAGACTGATACATTTGAAAATGTTCAACTCATTTAGACATTTAATACGTTTTATTTTTCATACAAGATCCTTAATTTTTCATTCAACCTTTATTTATACAGGTTAATCCCCTGAGCCTCAGGGACTCATTTACAAGAGAGACTTGAAATTGACTTACATTCATCACATTACAGTTCCCTCCATGTATGGTTCCAAATTTAAGCACGCGTAGATCACACAAATAGCCTAAACCTTGTTTATGAGCAGTTTATGATCCAGTTAACTGAAATTTGCAGATATTTTTGATAAACTACAAACTCGTGAACCTAACCGTCTCACCGAAAGAACATTGTGAGATCAAAATAAAAAAAGAAACGGGGACAGACTTTGTTATAATCTTGGGCATAAAAATAAACATCTTTTAAAATTAATATTGTTTAATGGAAAAACTAAAGCACTAGAAACCAAATTATACTGAGAGAGTTAATCAAACAGACCCTCTCTGCTAGCGGGTGTTTGGTCGTGTGCACAAGTTGGATGTGTGTTGATGCCAATGACGTTAGTCTGAACACGTTAATATTTAATTCAAAGGTAAATTTTAGACAGAAAAGTTCCGGGGATGTCACGGTGCAGAGTGGACAATGGTGTTTTGGCGTCTCTTTTCACACATAATTGGTCCTGTGGGAAGATGTATGGATGTTTATTAATCTTTTACATGCCATGATCTTTATGGTTGGGCGTGTGGTTCTGTTGGAAGGACAGGTGGCCCTCCTTGGATACTGGCAGGAGAAACACTGAATATCATAAAGATACTGCCATAAATCATCGGCTGGGATGTTCCCAGTGCCATGCATTCATGCTTGGCATGCCAAGATAATCTGTACTTGGTCAGTCCGATGGACTGTCACAGCTGAAGATAGTGGATGCTAAAACAAATGATAATTGCTCATCATTCTCATTCAACAATAATGATGCAATCACATGCTTCTACAATAAAGTGCAGGCCTAAAAAAATGTGTGAAATTTAAAGTGTCAGGAACGCAACCCTGAGTTTGATGTCCAATAG